TTATCCAACTCGAAATTGTACTGTTTTGTTTGGTTGACTATAGTGTAGCAGGGCAGGCACTATAGGGGTACAATTTAGGTGAAGGTTGGATGTTGTTTGTCTGTATCTCCATGCTACAGGGCCAGGGGAAACCAGCGGAACCAGCATTTGGCTGGTTGGGCAAAGACAAAACAGGTTCTGTTTTTAGGACCTGAACCTGGTTGTTTTCCCAGGTTGGAAAAACAGAACCAGAGGTTGTTCACCAACCTACCACCTGCTATTTTGTCCAGCCAGGTTGGTTCTGTTGCTTGGAATTATTTGGGATCATCCCTGGTTGTTCCCAGGTTGATTCCCAAGGTCCTTGCTAGCTAGAGCTATTTATTCCTTCTCTGTTTGTACCTGAATATAGTGAAATTGATTCAAGCGAATTCCTCCCTTCCTGGAATTTCATTTTCTACGCGGTGCGACGGCGGAATGCTACCCGAGTCAACGCTAGTACGCTAGCACTCCAACGCTAGGCTAACGCTGTCCGAGCCATAACTTCGTAATGGCAGAACTTTTCGCGAGGCAACTTGGCTTATTTTAAAGCTCTTAGAGTGAGCTTCGATATAGTGAAATCTCAGCTTAATCCGATCTACGGTCTGCACGATACGCTGGGCGACGTTCAAGGTACTTTTGCTGTTTTGACTAAGTCCCTCTTGATCCCTCTCTCTACAAACTCGGACCCGAGGATAGGGGCTGGTCTTGTACCAGGCACCCAAGGACCCTTGGAGGTGACCTAGAGGAGAGGTTTTAAGTTTTATAAAGTCTTAATAGCTTGAGTTTATTAGGCCCTTACCCCAACAGACACCATGGATTAGTCAATGCCAGCCATTTCCATGATGGCGAAGATTCGTCGAGCTCGGTTGTAGTAGTCATTCGCCAACACTTGCTTTCCCATCTAGAGGTGGGTCAGCTGCTCCTCCAGCTGCCCGATGTACATGTCGTCCGTCGCCGAGTACTTCGACACGATGAACCGCCAAGCATGGTGGCCGGCATCCAGTCAAAGTCAACACTGCTTCTGAGCTATCTGCACCATCGACAAGCAGCACCTCAAGATGACCATGAAGGTCAACAAGCACTCCGTATAATTAGGCCTCATCGACCTTGCAGCGGCGCAGGCACAACGATCTTGCCTAGGAAAAGCTTGAAGTAGCCTTACGCTAGCGCGATCCCGCCCGCCTTCACATGAGTCATTGACGAGGGCCTCCCACTGTTTCGCTGAGGAGAGTGTCGTCGCCCGTCAATGTCGACATGCGAGCCGTCGACCGCTGCACTTGCACCTGGCTCTTGCCGACGCCACCGTTGGCCCTGATCATACCTCTCCTTTTGTGCCCTCACTGCCCCCAACTTGTTCACCATCGTCGACCTCCTCGGCGATGCCACCTTTGTTTCGCACCAGTCAAATAGAAGTAGGTCAAGAAGGGTGTTCCGTTGCGCACAGATCCGTAGGAGAACCACCTCTAAGAAGAGCACCGGCCCAAACTCGCCATCTCCATGGCGTCTCTTTGCATCAGCCAAGCGTGCCTCCAAGGTGTTCCCAACCGCACTGGCCGTTGCCGGGATAGTTGTCATGGTCTGCACGGGCTGTCGGGCTACGAACAACTTAGGTAGTGCAAAAGTCGGATCCTACCCGAAGGTAATATGTGGGGCTGTCTACGCTCACCACACCATGTGCAGAATCACTCTACACCAAGAGCTGAACTATGGGAAATGCAAGGGTTCTAGGACTGATCATATCGTTTGCTTGTGTTCTCTATATGCACACATTCACGGAAACAAATGGCAATAGTTTCACTAGCAAAACCAGGATTACAGAATAATTACAATCACAATGGTAAGAATGGCTACATCACAGCCTAGCAACCCTTCAGACAAACTGGTCAACCACAAGTGCAGCACAGTCGTCAGTCTGTCAGCGTTGCATAGAGGCACCTTGCCAGCGTTGTAGAAAGGCGACCTGCCAACAGAGCAAGTTCGCGGCTTGCCAATGTTGCACCGTGGCGGTGTGCCAACACTATAATAGAGTGGTCTACCGGCATTGAACCCGCAGGTGATAGTCGCACATGTGTGCACCTACTTTGCATGTGCGCAGCGATGGTCGAGCACGTTTTCTACCGCCACGTAGTTGACAAGTTACCACGTACCGACAATCACGCTTGATGCTCCACGTCGACCTCGGGGTACTAGCCCGAGGTCGCCTTCGCCTTCGTAGCCTTGATGAGCCTCGTCTGCCTTTACAGAACCTTGTCAACCAGGTAACCTGATCGACCAGGTCGAGCACCCAGCGCCCTGGTCAATGACCTCCCTCGTCGACCACTACTCCCGTCGCGGATCACGCCGGTCGACAGACCCCTCCATGGACCAACTCGGTCAGCTGCTGCCGTCGAGCTCCCGTACTCGACGGCCCCTCGCAAGTTCTGCGCATAATTTGACGAACTGCTTCGTCGACCTCCCTTGTCAAACTAGGCCACCGGTTTCCCTTCGACGGAGGCATCACAGCCGTCGCCCGTGATAGAAAGCGTGCGAATCTGGAGAGTGAAGTATGCGACTAAGTCCGCCGACTTCGACAGATCTTCGCGTGCAGCTCACGTAACCTAAAAATAAGAGCAGGTACGTGTTAGATAGGTCTTAATATCTAATTTCCAGAATGGTAACGCACACTTTCAACCAAGATCTGGCTGATTGCTATCGCAATCTAACTGCGGCGGGATATTCTGAGGGGTATCGCTCAAAGAGAAGGAAGATGACCCATAAGCCAAAAATCAAGCCCCATCTGGCCCCCATCAGCATCCACAAGCATGCACTCCTCCCAATCAAGCACCTCATGATCATGCATATAAGCATACTATGCACTTGGTTCGAACCTTTCAGGTGGCCAGTAGATGCGGATGTTGCAGCACAGAGGTGATGCCTCCCGCTGCTCAAAACTTTGCAGCTTCTCTTCCCAAGTCACTCACTTCATTGGTGACCGTGGTGACTTGGACAGCTGCTGCTGCAGTAGTTGCTACCACCTACCCACAGGAACAGGTGGTGTATGCTGCTATGGTGATTGATGCGGCTTCACTTGTTGCTGCTGCTGCTCATGTGGCTGCTTCGGGTGATGGGCTGGTGTGTTTGGATCAGGGGTGGAATCAGCAGTTAAGACTCCTCATAGCGATGTGCAGCTGCCTTTTTTTCCTCTTGCTGCTCAACTACCTCCTCTCCAGGGTCCTCCAGAGCCCCCTCAAAGATGGAAGAAGTGTAGGGATCCTGGAGGGAACTCCCTCATGAAAAAGAGTTTGAATTGCATGATTCACCTAGGTACAACACGAGGCTATATATAGTCTCGACAGAAGGCCAGTTAACCGGGTGTTACGCGAATGCTCTAAGGGTCGCCAAGCGACCCGAATAGAACCTTCCCGAACTTAGTAGAAAGCAATTTGGTGGAGACCGAATAGGCTTGAATTAGGCTCACATAACCTGGTTCGGTGCTATAATTGTAATAAAATATAGGAATGAACCTAACATAGGAAATCAAGCATAACTATGCATGATAGAATAAACCCAAGCTAGTAATAGCATAATAAAGTCCAGGCAAGCTAGCAGAGCCAGCATAAGCCGTCGTACTCTCATAACCATGCTCCTTCCACCCATTGTAGCTCAGCCTCTCATGGAAAACGACGTCCCAGTTTTCCACCACCCACAGATCCGCCACACTCCACAATATCCAAGTCTTGCTTCTCTCCACCACCCCTAGGAAAATGCTGTTGGATGCACGTCATTCTAATTGCATGTCATCCTAACGTCCTGCCGAGTGCTCGTGCTATTTGTTATTGCATGATTTGCATGAGCGTATGTCATTATGCATGGCTGTTGGATATTACCACATCTGTGTTTTTCTCCAAGTCTACATGCTTGATCATGCAGGAGAAATCCAGAGCTTTCCAACGATACCAAGATCGCCTTATTCCGACCAAGATCGCCCAAGTTACAAGATTTCCAAGTTTTGGGAATTCTATCTCATTTTGAGATATTATCTACAGTGGAAAATTATTGGGACATGACTAAAAAGGAACTTTGGTTGGGTTGTTAGGAAAGCAACTTTGACTTTTTGGATTGGGGTGGCTAGAAGTTTCTAGCATGGGTTGCAAATGTTGCAACACCTAGGCAAAATCCAACTAGATTGGATTTTGCATGTGACACCTCAAGGATCTCATGATGAGGGTTGCATCCTTGCTGCTAGGAAGGTTCATACCATCCTTCCCTAGCTCTTGGAGAACCCCTTCCCTCTCATGGTTCTCTTGGAGTCCCCAACTCCAACTTCCTATGCTCTAGTGCTTGTACTTCCTCTACCATTCTAGTCATGCGGCTGCTGGACGTTTTCATATGGTTCTCACTCTACAGACCATCTTAACAACTGATTCAACTTGGAGATGGTAGATAAGCCTAAGGCGCAACTTCCTACCGAGCAGATTTGCGTTTAGTTGACTAATGATTTCGTCGTAAGCTCTCTAAGTGACGGATCCTGAACAACAAGTGGAATCAGAGCGGGTAGTCAGCTTTGAGACAACGAATCATCGTGAATTCTCAACCAATGTTGTCAAGTGGGACCATTTTGTAGTAGCTCTGCTTGCGAACGTTCGATTGGTGGTCGAACCGCGTTCTAGTTCGAAGAATACAGTCCGCGACGGCGATTTTCGTAGAATCGAAATGTTCTGACAGAATTCTCTCCAAACGATTTCTCAAGTTTCCACCGTTCTTAAGGCCTCAATATGGTTGTTACGAACTTCGGAGGTGCTAGTGGTGAGATGGAAAGAAGAAGAGAGGCTGGAGAGCAGGGGGGAGTTGCTGGTGGAGGAGTGGGGACTCACCAACCAACCAACCCTACGCTACCTACTTCTTCTACACCATCTCCTACTTCCGTGGATCCAGTGAAAGCTTTCTCTATTGAGAAATTCATGGGGGAGGACTACGAGCACTGGAGCTTCCGTATGAGGCTGATGTACACCCAATACAAGCTATTGGATCTGGTGGAGGGGAAGGAGAAAATGCCGGAGGCCGCGGAGTTGAAAGGAGCATGGATGAAGCGATCGTTCGACGCGTACATGCTCATGGTGCAAGCGGTTGGCGGGCGACAACTTGACCACATCAAGGACCTTTTGGGTGATCCAGAGTGTGGCCCCAAGGCTTGGAGGAAGCTTCTGGATGTGCACTCACCGACACATGCTACCGGCATCGTGCTACTTGCGCGGCGGCTGCGCGACATCAAGTTCGTTGATGGAGAGCCGATGCAACCGGTGTTGGATGAGATGCGCGACATCTTCACGAAGCTCCAAGGAGGCGGTGTGGTGTACCCGGAGCTCGTGCAATGCGTGGAGATCGTGATACGGCTGCCGGAGTCATGGTCTGCCCTAGCGATCAACCTCAACTCCCAACAACCCCAATGGAGCGTGGATTACATTCGCGCGCGCATCCTAGAGGAGGACTTGCGGCGGCGGAGTGTGGAGCGCTCGGAGGAGGGGGCTGGCTATGGAGTTGGAGGTGGAAAAAGTGGCTTCAAGAAGAAGTGGAAGGGCAAGAACAAGGATAACCCTAAGGAGGATGGCGGCGGGGGTCAAGGGGAGGTGTGCTTCTACTGCAAGAAGCACGGACATCGTTGGCGGAAGTGTTACCAATGACCCAAGGATTGGACCCCGCCTTCATCAAGCAACCAGCATGGTGGCACGAGGAGTGGGGGAGTCATGGGAGCTAGTGGAGAGGAGAAGGATGAGGAGAAAGGCGGTAAATCTGAGGAGCGGAAGGCCGGGTTCTTCTTCTTCGTGAACGAAGGCGCAACCGGCCACGCTATAGCTGCCTAGGTTCTCCTACACCCCTTTACCCATTGGGTGATTGACTCCGGGAGCTCTTGGCACATGACTCCTCGTGCGGACCTATTTGATGAGATTCAGCCCGCACCCATCTCTACAGTCACATCCGCGACGGGTGCCAAGGCCAAGGTCATGGGCATGGGATGCGCCAAGTTCATGGGAGCGGATGGAGAGCTCGTGGGGCTGAAGAATGTGCTGTGGGTGCCAGACTTGTGCGCGAACCTGATTTCTACCGGCCAATTGGGAGATGCGGGTGTGAACACTGAGACGATTGGCTCGGAGCGCTATCGTGCCTACAACGATGACCGTCTGATTTGGGACCTGTAGTGGAAAGGGGATGTCCACAAGCGGATGTGGCAGATCCCAGTCCTCCCTTGGCGGAAATCGGGCAAGGCGGCAGCGGCGGCATCTATGCAGGAGAGCGTCACCGAGGAGGAGCAGCAAGGTGTGCAAGGAGAGGAGCTGATTGGAGGAAGCGCGGCGGTGAAGGCGTCGGCTACCTCGGCCAAGCGGATGGGGAGACTTGGCATCGGCGACTCGCATACGTGGCTGTTTCAACACTGGAGGTGATGCACAAGGAGAAGTGCGTGCATGGGCTGCAACTGCAAGGAGATGGCACTCACTATGGCAGCTGCGAGGCGTGCATGCAAAACAAGTTTGCGCGGTTCCCGTTCCCAGGAGCGGAGGGATCAGCGAAGGCACCATTGGAGGTGGTGCACATGGACCTGGTGGGTCCTACGAGGACTGAGGGGACTGGGGGAGTGCTGTACTTCCTTACCCTGGTGGACGAATCGAGCCGTTTCACGTGGGCGCGTCCCTTGTCCAAGAAGAGTGATGCTGCAGCGGCCATCAAGGAGGATTGATTGCCGATGGTGGAGCGGCAAGCGATCCGGCTGGTGAAGGTGCTGAGGAGCAACCGAGGTGGAGAGTTCCTTGGAGCGGAATTCACCAAGTTCCTCAAGAGAAATGGCATCCGACATCAGCTGACCTGCCTTGGAACACCGCAGCAGAACGGCATTGCAGAGCGTGCCAACCTGACCATTGGCGAGGCGGCTAAGACATTGTTGGGGGCTGCTGGGATGCCCTACAAGTTCTGGCCTGATGCCGTTCGCCATGTCATCACGGTCAAGAACAGGGTCTTGACTCATGTTGGCGACAAGCATTGGGTGCCGTACGAGCGTTGGCTTGGGAAGAAGCCATCCATTCACATGCTGTGGGTGTGGGGCTGCATGGGGCTTGTGATGGTGCCTAAGGGGCAGAGGCACAAGCTGGAAGTTGCTGCTGTGACCCGGACGATCTCGGGGTCGAACCGCTTCAGAAAATCACGCCCGAGGATGAAATCTAATCCCTTGATGTTCGTGATCCGCAACGTCGGCTTGCACCTTAACCCTCCTATCTGCAGCTGTAGTGATGCCTCGCCGTGGATGAGAAGCTTCGTACCGTCCACCATTGTTGTTGTAAATTGGGTCTCCTCCGATGACTCTCCAATTTTTTCCAACGTCCCGCAGTCGCACGACGAGTGGGACGCACCACTGTCCACCATCTTGAGATGGCTCCTGACTCGAAGGGGTGGCACTGAGTGGACCCCAAAAGGAGGAGTGGAAGGCTACCATGGATGCGGAGTTCAACAGTCTCATTTAGAATGGGACTTGGGAGCTTGTTGAGTTACCCAAGGGGCGAGGGCCGATTAGCAGCAAGTGGGTCTTCAAGGTGAAGAGTGGAACTGATGGTGCGTTGGAGCGGTTCAAGAGCCGTTTGGTCGCGAAGGGGTTTCAGCAGAAAGAGAAGGTCGACTTTGGGGAGATCTTCGCTCCCGTTGCTAAGCCAGTGACACTGAGGACTTTGATGGCTGGCGCAGCTGTGAAGGGATGGCACGTGAAGCAAATGGATATCACCACTGCGTTCCTCAATGGAATACTGCTGGAGGATATCTACATGGCACAGCCCGACGGCTATGAGGATGGGACCAGCCGGGTGTGCAAGCTCAAGAAGGCTATCTATGGCCTTAAACAAGCGCCCAGGTGCTGGAACGAGAAGCTGGAGGAGCTGCTGCTGAGTGGAGGCTTCAAGACGTCCCCGGCGGATCACAGCTTATTTCTGCTTGGAGAGGGGGAGCAGCTGCTCTTGCTGCTGGTGTATGTCGACGACATACTGCTGTTCTCACCTTCCATGGAGCAGATTGAGAGGACACAGAAGCTGCTAATGGACAACTTCAAGTGCAAGATGCTGGGGGATGTCCACTACTACTTAGGGCTGCAGATTGAGAGGGATGTTGAGAGGAGGTGGCTGAAGGTGCATCAGTCACACTACATCTCTGGTATCATGGAGCGGTATGGTGTGACTGGGGGTCGCACTGTTAGGACACCGTTTCCTGCGGGCTTCAAACTGAAGAAGGCAGCTGAGGAGGATGATGTACTTGAGGATGGGCAGCAGAATGAGTACCAGTCACTCATTGGGAGTGTGATGTATGCAGCTGTGCATACGCGACCTGATGCTTCATTCGGAGTGAGGCAGCTGGCCAGAGTTGTGCAACGGCCCACTGTGGAGCAGTTGGAGGTGGCAAAGCGCTTGGTGCGCTACCTCGGATCAACGGCATCTGCTGGTGTTCAGTTTTCAGCTGGCGGCCAGCTAAACAGATTGGAGCAGATGGGGTCACGCCTGGAACCTTGAAGGTGTCGTGTTTCACCAACGCCACATGGGCTTCAGAGGATGAGGATCATGTTGGTGTAAGGGCCTAATAAACTCAAGCTATTAAGACTTTATCAAACTTAAAACCTCTCCTCGGGGTCACCTCCAAGGGTCCTTGGGTGCCTGGTACCAGACCAGCCCCTATCCTCGGGTCTGAGTTTGTAGAGAGAGGGATCAAGAGGGACTAAATCAAAACAGCAAGAGTACCTTGAACGTCGCGCAGCGTATCGTGCAGACCGTAGATCGGAGTAAGCTGAGAATTTAGTATATCAAAGCTCACTCTAAGAGCTTTAAAATAAGCCAAGTTGCATCGCGAAAAGTTTTGCCATTACGAAGTTATGGCTCAGACAGCGTTAGCCTAGCGTTGGAGTGCTAGCGTACTAGCGTTGACTCGGGTAGCATTCCGCCGTCGCACCGCGTAGAAAATGAAATTCCAGGAAGGGAGGAATTCGCTTGAATCAATTTCACTATATTCAGGTACAAACAGAGAAGGAATAAATAGCTCTAGCTAGCAAGGACCTTGGGAATCAACCTGGGAACAACCAGGGATGATCCCAAATAATTCCAAGCAACAGAACCAACCTGGCTGGACAAAATAGCAGGTGGTAGGTTGGTGAACAACCTCTGGTTCTGTTTTTCCAACCTGGGAAAACAACAACCAGGTTCAGGTCCTAAAAACAGAACCTGTTTTGTCTTTGCCCAACCAGCCAAATGCTGGTTCCGCTGGTTTCCCCTGGCCCTATAGCATGCAGATACAGACAAACAACATCCAACCTTCACCTAAATTGTACCCCTATAGTGCTTGCCCTGCTACACTATAGTCAACCAAACAAAACAGTACAATTTCGAGTTGGATAGAACTGAATCTGCACAATCAAGTAAGCCGAACCACAAAGCTTCCATCTTGGGTTCCTTTGCGAGCTCGTCCTTTCTGCTTGTACTGTTCATAGCGCGTACAATGTTATGCCGAAGCGCACATTGTGCAAGTACCTGCAAATGCTTCAAGCGAAAATTACGAAAGCAAACAAACACACGAACATACCATTCACACGCAAATGCATTCGCACACGCATACTCGTACAAACAGACGGCAGGATGTCGTGCAATGTGAATTTGCACCCAACACACTCCCCCTTAGCCTGCCGGCTGCATCCCCATCATTCCATACTAGTTCATGCTCATTCCACTCATGCGCACACAACGCCAATAAGGCTCATCCGCAAGCCTCTTGGTGAGGAAGTCTGCTGGCTGCTGGTGAGTCTTGATGTAGATCGGAGTCACCGTCCCCCTCTTCACCTCCTTACGCAGCCAGTGCCACTTGATACACATGTGCTTATTGAGCCCATGAAGCACCGCGTTCCTGGCCATCCCAAGAGCTCCCTCGCTATCACAAAACAGCGGCGTAGCAACCTTTTGCTCCTGGCCAATCTCCTCCAACAGCCTCCTCAGCCAAATCACCTCCTTCACCCCATGAAACATTGCCATGTACTCTGACTCCACGGAAGAGAGTGCTGTCTCCGTCTGCTTCTTTGACCTCCAACTAACCGGTCCTCCTCCAACTACCCAGATGTATCCTCCTACAGATGAGGAATCCTCTTTCTCAGAGGCCCACGTAGCATCAGTAAAGCAAGTGAGAAAGAGCTTGCCTTCTCCAAGCCTCTCCCCCTTCTCTTTCAGCACCTCAACCCCTTTCTGCTTCACCTGTGCAGATGCGGAGTATTGAACTCCAATGCTTGGGTGAGAGTTTAGATACTTCACCACACGCTCAGCTGCATCCACCTGCTCCTCTGATGGATTCTGCACCACCCTAACCAGCTGCCAAACCGAGAAAGAGATGTCGGGCCTCGTGTGAACTGCTGCATACAAGAGGCTGCCCACCAAGGACTGAAATTGCTGCTGCTCCTCGGCTTCAACCCCTTCATCCTCTGCAGCTTTCACAAGCTTGAATTCTGCTGGCAGGGGAGTTGCAACCTTGCGCTCATTCTCAATTCCGTACTTCTCCCCAAGCTCCTTGATGAACTTCTCCTGGTGCAGCTTCAACCACCTGTGATCCAGATCCCTCTCCACGTGCATCCCGAGGTAGTACTTTACCTCCCCAAGGTTCTTGCACTTGAAGTTCTCCATCAGCTGCTGCTGCACCTTCTGGATCTCCTTCATGTTGCTGCTAAAGAGAAGAATGTCGTCCACATAGACCAGAAACAGCACTAGCTTCTCCCCTCCCCCCTTGAGAAAGAGGCTCTCATTACAGCTGCTGGTCCTGAATCCCATCTCTTCTAAAACAGCTGCCAACTTCTGGTACCAGC